TGGGCTGGAGACATTTGAATGTTCATATGGCGGCGCACGGTGGATCGAGTGACTTGAAGAGGTCATTTGGAGACAAAATTTGGAAACTCTAAGAGCTTGTAACTCCGTTGAAACAAAATTTTGAGGTTTTAAAAATGATTCCAGTTGTTTCTTTGTGAAATTTTCTTCTACAGGCGCCCATCAAAATTTAAAATTTGACGAAATAAACGTGGAAATTTGCAGTATAAGCAAAAAAATTTATATCCGACCTCCCTCATTGACTCAATCCACTGTGCGGCGCGGCATTTTCTCTTGGTACGACAGCGAGCGATTGACGTATACTGTGTTACATCTTCATTTTTTGAAGGCGCAATACTCGAGTCGATCATCGCCAAGGTCAAAGCGAGATGAACCGTAGAGCCGTGGCAAGGAATTCGATGATTCTATAATCAGCCGTAGCCGCGCTGCGTGCGGGACAATGAGCGTGCCGGTGGACTCCTGGAAGGGGAACCGGATCCAACGCTGTCAAGTCTCCCCACGGTAACATAGCATGGGTCTCCATATGAAATACATAGGAATACCCACATTTTACGATAGGTCTGACACCGCGGCCCCTCTCCTTTCGTCAGATCCAACAGCGTTGTCAAATGCGCCAGCATCGTTCAGCGAGGTCGGCATAGGTAGATGCGTATACTTAGAACAATAGACAACGCTTCCAGCCACTGCTGTGACGCAGTGGCCATCATGGCGGCGTGAATTGTAAACAGTACGGCACGTTGTTGGGATTAATTTACTAATTACTCAGCCAATTAACCAATTTTCAGAATATATTTTGTGTTTTAGTGACTGTAATGTGTTAGTCTCCAAATGGCGTGGTCGAAATCCAGCGGTGCGCGTGTGATTTTCAACAAGTGCGTGCAACATGAACTCTAACAAATCGTCTCAGTTTGTCAGCAACCTGTCCAAGCCGCTGCTTTTGAGGGTATTGCGATTGAACTACCACGAAGACGTCGACGAAAATTCTTCGATCGAGGAACTGCGCGAATTGTTGCAAAGGAAATTAACCCCGATTGTTAGTTCTGAGCCTCAACTCGAGTCGGAGCCAGAGCCCCAAGTTGACGTGAGCTCCGGTGACGTCACTCCGGTACAAGAAAGTTCGGGCGCGAAGAAAGTTTTGAAACGACCCACCATGGGTGACGATATTAAGTACAGACTTAATGTCGACGATTGGGACACGTTTGTAGAGCGCATGGAGCTATACTTTGATGTCAACGATACGCCGGAAGAGAAATGGGTGGCCGAAATCCTCACCAGGTAATAATTTTTACCTATGGAATTTTTTTTTATTTATTTTTATTTTTCTATATTACACTAAAAAAAAATCTCGGTGTATCTACTAGGAAAAGGGTAAAATTACCAATAATTCAGGGTTCTATTTGATCCCAGTTTTTTCTTGGTAAAATTACCATTTATGGAATTGGTAATTTTACCGAGAAATCTCGGTAAAATTAATGAACTTCCTCGGTAATTTTACTGGACCTTGGTAAAAACGCCAATATTTTTTATCGACGGTGGTAGAATTACCGAGATAAAATGGCAAAGTTACCGGGAATTGATTACCAATAAAAGTAATATTTTTACCTGAAAAAAAAAAAAAACAGCAGGTAAAAATACCGGTTCTTAGGTAAGCCTACCAGTCTGTCTTGGTAAAATTACCAATAATTGGTAAAAAAAGCTAGATGGTAAAGGTACCAACGGACCTTGGTAAAAATGCCGAGAATTTTTTTCAGTGTATTATTTCATTAATATGGTAACAAAAATGTAAACCATACCTAGGGGCTGTTCAAGTTTTACGCACTTTACCAGATTTTTTTACCCCTCCCTCCCCAATTGCAATGCACTCGTTACGCAACCCTACACCCTCCTATTTGAATCACGTTATGCTGACCTG